ACCCCCCACCCCCACCCCACACACACAGTGAGCCTGCTTCTGGAGGTTACTTCCTAATTTTTCCTCTCCACATTCACCACATGCATGCTTGGTGTGAGGGATTGCTTTGCTATGCAAGCTAATTCCTACTGTGTGAAAATGTTCATCCAGGAGGAGAGAATCCCAAAAAGTCAATGACTGGATGGAATCAGCTGATTTTCCTTAGAAGGAAAACTTTGGAGCTATAATCTGATTGAACTGGATCTGGAAAGTGACCTGAGATAACATGAGTTGAAGACTGGAGATATAGAAATAAACTGAATAGAACTGAATCAGGGTAGCAAACCACTTATAAGACCAGGTTCTGAGAACAGCTGCAGCTTGCTGATATAAAGATTTAAACATATTAACATATAAATATATTTTGACAAAAAGTCCTCATTTGACCAAATAAACCTTCAGTGATTTCCTCAGGCCCTAAAAACAGCAATGATCAAATCTGCTGTTGAAGAAGAGAAACTTGAAGAATATGCTGCTGCAGAACTCCAGGCTCGTCTCGCACCTCAGGAAGGTTATTGAAAAAGCTGTGATTCAGCAGTTACCCCCTTCCTAACAATGACCAGCTGCTTGCTGTCAGCTTGCCAATACTTCGGTTAACTCCTGGTGATACAAACCTTTGCTGTCCTGGTTTTTCGCCTTCTTGTTTTTTCTGCGGAGGCGGATGCTGCTGTTTTTCTTCGGTACTTCCTCTTGCAGCTCTTTGCCGTCTCTCTCCATCACATCCAACAGATCCAGATTGTTGTTCCTGGGCTCTTTCTCTCGTTCGTTCTGCGGCCTCGCAGGCAGATCTTCGGCAGCATCATGGCGCATCACGGCGGCGGCGGCCATGCTGGTACCTGGCTCTTGATTGTCCTACATCGTTTACAAAAAAAGAATCTCTTTGAAGATTAAACTGCACCATCAGTTCCCTCCCTGGACAATGTTCTGGATGCTACCTGATCCTTTCGTTTAGCTTCTTGGGCTTCCCCCTTACTGCTCCCATTTTCCTCTCCTGCTCTGATGTTCTGTCCATCTTCTGGAGAGGCAACCTGCTCCTCCAGGGGGCCCTCGTGGTCCCACAGACCATATTGCTGTGAGTGAAGACAAAGTGTTAGCAAAGAGGTTTACAGATGAGCCCTTCCATCAAACCTGTTTGGGAAAAAAACTGAACATCCGACACCAGAGGAGAGCTCAGTTTGACTTTATCTGGTTGAGTATTTAGAGGATTTGTGGTGAGAGAGGAAAACTATCTCATGCTTTAAGGTCAGCGGCTCTCTGCCTGATGAAAACCTTTCAGCAGGTCTGGTTCCAGTGACCCCTCATCCTGCTCCTGTGTCTTAATAAAGCTTCTTAAATGAGACGCCTGCAGCTCTTAGCTGTCTGCTCTGATGGACCTTCTGTTCTGAAGGTCATGGTCCTGACTGCTCCCATGACCACAGGCCCCACTGAGGCTGCCAGCTCTCCATTTCCATCTTTCAGCTCTTTTTATTTCTGGAGCTTCTCTTGTTCCATCCATCACCGCCGTCTTCTTCAGCACCGTCTGTCTGATCGGTCATCTGCTTCCTCGTTCTGGACTCTGGAGGGTCCTTCACAGTCCTAGTCCCGTCTGGCTGCAGCAGTTCTGGCGCTGCAGCTCCTGATGCGTTTGCTGCTAATGATTTTAGCACCTGTTCACGTGTCTCTGTCTTTTCAGCGCCCTGTCCTGTTGAGGGGTCAAGGAAGGGTCGCTGTCAACAGGCAGGGTGAGGGTACACCCTGGACACGTCTCCAGGATCAAAACAAACCTACCACTGAAGATAAATACACCTAATTTAAGATTTTTTACGTATTGCTAAATCGTTTTAACAGTGTAGTTATGGATGCACACTGCACAAACGATCTAGAAAAAAGTAAAAAATTATTACCTTTAATCTGAGCAGGTAAATGAGACGATTTGCCAATGGAATTAGTATATTTACCCTTAAATTAAGATAATTAGATGATATGCACTGGAAATAAGACAACATAATTATTTTTTTCTTATTTTAAATGCAAACTGTCTTCTTCCATTGGCAAAGTGTCTCACTTACCTCCTTATTTAAGAAAAAAAAAATCCCTTATTTAAAGAAAAATGACTTATTTATTTAAATTTTTTGCAGCACACTACTCCTCACTGGAAAAACGATCTGGAAATTAGAAAACATTTCTTATATCAATTGTATTTTCCTTAATTTGAGTAGGTAAATGAGACAATTGACCAATAGGATGAGTATTTTCACTCTTAGAATAAGATAATTAGATAATATGCACTTGAAACAAGACAATGCAATTGTATTTTTCTTATTTTAAATGTTAATTGTCTTGTTCAATTGGCAAAATGTCTAATTTTCCTCCGTAATTCAAGAAAACATGCACTTATATTAGGAAAAAATGACTTATGTAGATTTACATTTTTTGCAGTACTGCAGGCATCTTATGGTATCACTTGAAAAACGATGTAGAAATAAGTAATCATCTCTTAAATTAAGTATATTTAGCCTTAATTTGAGTAGGTAAATGAGACAGTTTGCCAATAGAATGAGTATTTTTACTCTTTAAATAAGATAATTAGATAATATGCACTTGAAATAAGACAATGCAATTTTGTTTTCTTATTTTAAATGCAAACTGTCTTGTTCCATTGGCAAAGTATCTTACTCACCTCCATATTTAATAAAAAAATTCCCTTATTTTAAGAAAAATGACTTATTTATTTCAATTTTTTGCAGCGCACCCACTCCTGCAGGCATCTTATGATCACTGGAAAAACAATGTAGAAATAAGTAAACATCTCTTAAATTAAGTAAATGAGGTAGTTTGCCAATAGAAAGAGTATTTTTACTCTTTAAATAAGATAATTAGATAATATGTACTTGAAATGAGACAATGCAATTTTGTTTTCTTATTTTAAATGTAAATTGTCTTGTTCAAGAAAAGAAAGACTAATCTAGATTTTGATTTTTTTCCAGTGATCTAACCCAAGATGAACCCAGCAGGGTCAACCATGAGAAACAAATGTGAGGTTAAAATACGCACCGAGAACAGATATCAACGTCTCAACAACAAAACAGTCAGTGAAATTAGTGAAGGGTATTAATCTACTGATGTCTGACCATGAGGAGGGAGCGGTGGAAGAACAGAGCCAGCAGTTGGAGGAGGTCGTATTTGATGTAGCTGTCGGTTTTCTCTAGGCCGAAGATGCGGGGCGGGAAGAAGGGCTTGTCTTCGTTCAGGGTCATCTCGTAGAGGCTGTTCCACGGAAAGAACCCAAACTGGAAGATGTATTTCAGCACCACCATGGCCTGGGAAGAGGTAGAGCACAGCGCTGGTTTAGATGGTTCTGTCCTAGAACCGGTTCTGACTCTAATCAATGCTTCCTGTATTTGTAGCGTGGTTTGGTTTTGTTCCTACGGGCTCCAAGGATCAGTGGAACAGTACTTTTTCTTCCGCTAAACGTTTAGACGCTCATTTAAAATGGCACTTTATAGTAACATTTATGGTGGTTAGGGTGGATATTTGGACACAGCGAGTAGTGATAATCCATGGTCACTAGATAAGCACATACATCCCATGATGCTGTGTGATTGTTCAAAATTACACAAGCAGAAGCTGCTGGAGGTAGAAAAATTTAACTGGCGCCACATCAACCAATCAGAGAAGCTGATCTGGGAGCTGGCAGGGAGACAGACACAGCGCTGCTGATGCAGAGCGCTATGCTCACTCCCCTGAAACAGTTTATTAACACCTAAAATAACTTAAAATCCTGCCAGCAAAATATGTTTGATTTTATTATCCCGGTGCCTGCAGTTTGTACCACCTACCTGAAAAACGCTAACATCTACTTCCAGCCGCCACCAACAGTGGGGAAAACCCCAAGAGGCGAGCGGGCCTGAGGCAGCTGCTGCTGGGGATTCTCACTGACAGCGCACCACCGGTATGTGGCGGTCTGAGCGGCTCCAACAGAGAAATAATCTCTGAAGGAAGGAGAAGCAGCGCAAGTGAAGTTAGACACTGTCCTCAGACAACATGCAGGGTCCGGATCCGCGGTCCGCTAATCCTTGACCTTTGCTCTAGTGAATAAAAAAGTAATGGACTTAAAATTTCCCACAATGCACCTTAAAAAGTAGTGATGATCCGTGGTCACTAGACAAGAAAATATATCCCAAAATGCTTTGCGAGACCTCTTCTCTGTTTTTTTTCTTAAACATTTTTAAGGCACGCGCAGTATAACTTTTGATCTATTCTTCCATTTCATCTTTCATGTGCATTACTGCCACCAGCTGGTAAGGAGTGTAACAGCTGCATCCATGGCTCTTAGAAGTGCTAACTTCTAACATCTGCTGACCTCCTACCAGCCGATTAAAACCACTGAATGGTAAAACCTAAAGCTTCATTCTGCTGCATTTAATCTCATCATGGACAGATCCTTCTGGTTCTGTTTGGGACTAAATCTCTTTGCTTTTCAAAGGTCTGAAGATGTCCTGCAGAATCCATACCTCTGTGTAGACAATGGCTGTCATCCAGAACCTCTTAGTGGGTCTTGGAGCGGACAGCATGGCCCAGAGGAAGACCAGCATTGGCAGGACCAGTGATATGACGGAGGCGCTGACCACGTTGTTCAGGACTATAATCAGGTAGCAGAGCAGCTCTGAATTGGCTGACAGCAGGTTGTATACAGCTATCAGCAGCCTCAGCAGACGGTTCTGGTTGTTGAAGAACTCCCTGCTCTGCTCCAACTCCTCGATAAAAAAAGCCCTGAAAAAACAAGCAGTCAGCCTCCTTAAAAGCTAGCAGAAAAAACCATAGATCAGGACTGACTGAGTCCAGAGACCTCCGCAGATCTGGTCAAAGAACTGCAGATGATTCACCTGTCAGACAGGATCTCACTGGCGGTTCTGGAGTGTCGCAGCTTTAATGGCTCCGGCTGCAGGACTTCTTCAGTCAGAAGATTCCCATTGCTGCTGCGCCTCGGCGTCTCCGCTCTGCTTATGGTAGAGAAACAGGATTGGAAAAAGCAACATTAGAGAACAATCCTATGAATATTTGTTCTTTAACATTGTAACAGAACCACTATGTTATTTTCTTTTTTTGTATGAAGTGCATTAAAGTGTACAGATAAACTGTTTTGTAGAACAGTTATTATGTCTTCGGTAATATTATTTCGAATCTCCACTGGTTAAAAATGATGTTGGGTATTAAAATGCTGTTTTTTTTTTTGGTGTGGAGAAAATATCTTGATAAAAATGGGCTGGTGCGTCGGCGTGCGGCGTGTCAGATCTGTGCAGCGGGAGTTTTTGTTTGGTTGTATGTTAAAAACAACTTAAAAATATTAAAAATAAAAGAAGAAAGATAAATCGGCAATCAAAGTTTTTCCCTGCGCCACAGAACAGCAATCAAGAGAAGTGATCAGAGTTTGCACCCAGAGGACGCCGCCCGGTGCAAAAAGACACCGCCCACGGGAAAGTAAGACGCACACGGTGAGATCTGGACCTTATTTTTCTTGGATTTTTGGTGGTACCAATTTTTTTCTAATCTTTTTTTTGGGGGGGGGTTGTCCTTTGGATTTTTCATTTTGGAACGAACTTTGGACAGCACTTTGCTTTGAGTTTAGCGGATATGAAACTCCTTTGTGAACATTATCATAAAAAAAAAAAAAAAGAACAGGCAGTTTGGGACTTATTATTATTATTATTACCAGTTATCAGGGTTTTTTTTTTTTTTGCAGATATAAATTGAGAGTTTGAGTTTACCTATAAATTGGTTATGAAGGATTTTTGGTTAGTGGTCAATTTATTCCGAATTATAATAGAATGAAACTTGATTTTTGGTAGTAAAATAAATCTTTGTTGCTAAAAATCAACATAATCTTATTAAGTGGTTGGATATTTTTTCTTTCATATCAAATTTATAATGTAACATATTTGACCAGTTTTCCTGTGACAGAATCCCCCTGAGTATTTGTGATTTCTGCTTTTAATTAAGCTGAATTTCACAGTGACCCGGTGGCTCTGAGAGCTCATTGTTAAAACGTTCACCAGCTGGGGTCATCGTGATGATGGCAGAAATAATAACCTATGATTGTGGGACATAAAGAGTCTGGTTTAATCCTACAGGAGTCAGACTTTTATTTTGAAAGTAGAAAGAAAGTCATTCCTGACTGTTAAAGACGACCTGGATCAAACACAAAACATTTATTTTATTATTTATCCAACAAACCACATCCGTCTGTATGTGGAAAAAGTTAAATGAAATTTTCATGGAATCAACTTTTACTTGCATAAATAATACACAGATATGAATTACTTATATTATATAATTCCTATAAAGTAAACTTTAATTGCATCATTGTGGAAAGCTTAAGATTCATAGTCATTTAGTTCATAGCCTTAATATCAAACAGATTTCATTATGAGCAGAGAATTTTCCTTGAATTCAGTTATTTCCGAAGCATTCATGATTAAATGTTTATCATGGAGCAAATGTTCTGTAACAGTAGCGATATAGGCCATCCGTTCAGGTCCTAAAATAAGAAGCTCAATCCTGAATTTAATCCTCAGTTCTATTTTCCCAGCAGGGGAGATGATCAATGACCCTGAGGCGTGTTTCTCCCGACCTGCAGCCGACACCTGCCATGGTTGCATGGAGGTCTGCCACTCCTCCTCCAGATCTAGGCTCACTTTCCTCGGAGCAGCATTCCAGACGGAGGGTTTGGGAGCGCCCCCACTGACATCTCCACCACCTCTGTCTGATCATGTCAGTCCCAAAGACTCGGCCTGGACCTCGTCGGGCCTCACAGTCACCAATATGCTAACAGCATCTGTCGGCAGCATAAACCCTGATGTGATGGAGACCAAACAGCACGCTGACCTGCTTCCAGATGCGTGTTCTGGATCTTCTTGGTCCAGAGACGTATTCAGAGAGAAGATCTCACTGTTCTGGGACACCAGGTCTTCTCTGGACTCGGCTGGTCGACGCTGCAATGATCAGAACATAGGTTTTGTTTTTATGTTTGTGCTTCAGTTCTTCTACCTTTGGTGATGAGACCTGAGTCCTTCCTGGTTTTACCTGCTGGATCCTGTGTATGATGAAGTAGCGCTCGTTGCAGAGCACCGTGGACGTGTCTCTGTACTGTTTAGTGAGCAGATTGAGCCACTGGGTCAGGCCGTCCACCATGGCTAAGATAATAGCCCACAGGAAGCGCAGGATATCCAAGATCTTCTGAACCATCTCTCCATGCACTACGTCACAAAGAAGAAGGTTAACAAAGAGTAAAAAAGAGGACAAAGCAGCCTCCATGCTCCTAGGGTTGCACCTGGATCAGGACCAAAGCCTGATGGCTTTATGGTGACCAGATGTCCCCGATTTAGACCACCTGTCCCTGGCTAAAGCTGTCCCCAGAAATATCCCAGATTTTACCGTTAAATGTATGGGGGGGATGTTGTGTGTAGACAGTTATTGCAGTAGAAAGAGCTTTGGCATTCTGCGCGCAGAAACAGCTGCTAGCTAGCTGGTTGTCAGCCGTTAGCGTATAGATAAGGAGCAGCAAGAGCGTAGGTTTGATTTCAGGTTTGGTAGGGACACCATTGGTCTTCAGGTTCATTGGTCTGATGTCATTGGTCCTTTGCCAAAATATGCATGATCTTTTTAATGCTTAATATGAGCATCAGGAAACATTTTGTTTAAAGAGAACAGCAGCATTTCTTGCTACATTAATACAAATCTTATAAGCACTAAACACACCAGATGGTGTTTATCAATGTTTAAAGCATCACTGGCTCTGAGGAATGACGAATTAGGACTATTTTCCACTTTGAAAAGGTTTGCATATGAAATAACTAGCGACTAAGACAGTAGGTAAATACACGCCTGTTTAAACAAATATAGACTAAATATGTCTGTTATATGTAGATCTATCCTTTTCTTTTGAAGATGTAGAATTGTGCAGAAGTAAACAGAGGTAAATGGTAAATGGCATGTACTTATATAGCACCTTTATTCAAGTTAGGAGACTTGACCAAAGCGCTTTACACTACATTCATTCACCCATTCACACACACACTCACACACTGATGGTGGCAAGCTACATTGTAGCCACAGCTGCCCTGGGGCTCACTGACAGAAGCGGGGCTGCCGTACACTGGCGCCACCAGGCCCTCTGACCACCATCAGTAGACAATGCAGGTGAAGTGTCTTGCCCAAGGAAACAACAACACTGAAGGTCGGAGCCAGGGCTTGAACCGTCAACCCTTCAATTTCAGGGCAAACTCCTACATCCAACGCCACTGTCGCGTGAGGTAAACCCCACTTTTATTTTTTCTATCTAAATGCTCTCTCTGTATCTTGCTCAACAATACATTCAAGGGACGGAAAATAAATGTATTGTATTTACATGAGCACTGGAACTATAAGAGGAACTGACATTGAGCATTTCAAATATTAACTTACTAGTTGTACATCTGGGCTGTAGTTACTCTGTGTCGTTCATTTCATGTATTTTATCTAAAGCTGAAACAATTTATCGCATTAACTGATTATTTAAATAATCGTCAACTAATTTAGTAATTGATTAATCGTTAACTAGAGTATAGAGCCACTAAAATGTGCCTTTAGCCGACAGAGCGACCCACTTAGAGCAGGAATTATACCAAGATTGTAAAAAATTTACCAGACAATAATGTTTGTACTAATTTACTTATGGACCGCGTGGAATCCTATTTCTAGATGTAGAAGTCAATTAAATAGAACTATTTTTATGTGGAAAATAAAAAATAGCAGATCTTTAGCATCCTTCTCATGTTGTTATGTTCTATTAAAGAAATAACACCTGTTATTTATACCTGAACTGCCGTCAAAAATGAAATAGTTATAGTTTTGTAGCCTTATATTAATTTTGGTAACCGTCGTATTCAAGCGTCATTTTTCCCCCCCGCGTTCCAAGCACGCACACACACATACAGACTAGAAAACAAGCATTTAGAAAGAGAGAAGGAGGAACTTAAGGCAGAAAAATCAGAGAGTGGAGTTAAACAGTGCAGCACAGTTGATGCGTTGCTAAGTGAAAGATACAGGAAAGAGCAGTCAGCTGCAGCTACCAGGCAAATGAGCTCCGAGAGGAAAAGAAGCCACTAACAGATTAGATCGCAGAAATCCGGTCACCTACTTCTTACCAGTCATTAAAAAAACACTGTGACCATGTGACCTACTAGAAGTTCACGCTAACAACAGTTAAACATTAGTTGGTGTGAGGATCTGTGTCAGCAGATTACATCAAATTACAAAAACATTATTATTAAAAATATTTTTGTAATATTGGCAGCTGCAGGTTCACCTACCAGACTCTTCCTCCTCCTCAGGCTCCTCCTCTTCAGCATCAGGCTCCTCAAAAACAGCATCTGCAGAGGCTACATAAACAGAAAGCACCAGAACACCTTGATGAGGTCATGGTTCCTTAACCATCAGCGGCTCAGTTAGTCATCAGTCATGATTCATTTCAGAGAACATTATTAACTGGGTTTAGTTTGAACAAATGATCCGTTTCTAGCGGAGCCTTACCCTTCAGATGAAGATCCTCCTCTCTTTGTTCTTGTCTATTCCTCTCTTTCTCCTTCATGGCCTTCCACTGTCTCTGGCGTCTCTGGCGTTCCCTCAGAGCTGTCTTCACGCTGCTCACCCATGCCTGATAAGCTAACTGGGATACAACGTTCATATAGCAGCTGCTAATCTCCGTCATACAGTAGGGGACATGGTTGTTGGTTCTGACCTGGCATGCAGTCTGAGTCTGAGGCTTTTTCTCCTCGTAGGTCAGATCCTCCTCATCCTCACTGTCTGATTCAAACAGGTAGTAGTCACCAGAGTGAATGACTGTGGGCAGAAGGCAGCATTATTCATCTCTGCTCAGATGCTCACAGTTAGGGCTACAATTGGATTAATCAGATTAATAAATTATTTCAATGATCATCAACTTATTCAGTAATTGATTAATCCTTAACTGGAGTATAAAGACTCTAAAAAATGCCTTTAGCTGACAGAGGAACCCCCTTAGAGATGGAATTATATAAAAAAAAACATTTTGCATTTAAGATAAAAATCTTTTCCATTTTTTTATTTGCTCTATAATCTACCTGGTTTAATCAGGTAAAAAGTCCTCTTTAAGGAACCTTGGGCTATCTGATTATTAAATGAAAAAAATAATCAACAGATGAATCGATTTTTAAATTGAATCATTAGTTGAAGCCCTACTCACAGTCATTGATGCTTCTAACATTTAGTCTCTCTACAGCCTGATTTCCAATTTCCACAATTTCCCCATTGTGGGGCAATAAAGGGATTTTCTATTCTATTCAATAAAAAAAGTGTATTTGTAGTTAATTTGAGCTGGGGGAAAAAATGATCTACCAATGGAATGAGTATTTCTGCCCTTAAATAAGATGATATGAACGCTTTTCAACATAAATTATCTTAGGCCACGTTCACACAGAAGTCTGAAGTGACTCAAATTAAATTTTTTGGCCCATATGCGACCTGGTCTGATCTTTTCATGGCTCTCTGATACAGATCAGATTTTTTCCAATCCGACCCAGGCCGCTTGGCTATGTGGTCCTGAATCCGATACGAATCTGATCTTTTCAAATGCGACCTGTGTCTGAATGGCCAGGTCGCATTCATCCGACCTGAACGTCATTAATACCCGACACAGGTCACTATTCTGGGTCTGGCTATGAAGAAGTGGCAAGAAAAACAACAACCATGGCAGATGATGATGCAGAGAGCAGTATTTTTTTTTAACCATCTTGAAAAGATTGTGTTTTTATGGTTGGGAAAGATCGCTAGATGCGCTCCGGCACGATCGCTAGATGTGCTCCGGCGTGCTTTGTGTTTACGGAAGTAAACACAAAGCACGCTGGCCTGTGACATCATTGCGTCCTCTACTGCGCATGCGGGACACTTGTGTTGTATGACTGCAGTTCACACAGGAGATCACATACAAGTCGCATATATTTGCAAATGTGAACAGCAATGAAAAAAATCCAGATTTCACAAAAAAAATGGGAATTGATCCTCAAGGCCTGCAGTGTGAACGTAGCCTTATGCTATTGGTCATTTATGACCTACCTGCTCAAATAAAAGAAAAAAAACATTTTCCGAGAAAAACTGACTTACATTGAAATTTTTTCAGTGCAAAAACTTCTGCAGACTCTACAGACTGCAGGTTTTTACCCATTCGTCTAAATCTTAATTCTTAACGACTCAAGTTTAGTGTGAAAGTAGCATAACCATCTGTGACTAGCGCTGCAGAGTGGAAGAGCTCCAGACCACTAGGGGGAGATGATCAACTACGCTAATATGCCAACAGAAACACAGATACGGAGCCCCTCTGATGACATGGTCAAAAAAAATGTTTAATTGTGGCCACGAAGTAGTATTTCGTGCGCACGAAGTAGTATTTCGCGGCACGCAATAAGTATAACGTGCGCACAAAATACTTACTAATAATATCAATAAATCCGCCCCTGTTTTCAGGTTAACTGTAATGACTTATCTTGGACAGGCTGCTATGTAAACGGGCCTTTAGTCCTTCGTTTAGCTATGCTGCGGTTGTTTACACTACGCCTTTTCCACCTAAAATGGCGTCTTAGCAACAAATGTAACGTGACTGGCGGAGACCGACTGGGTAAGCAAATCAAGCCCGCCTTAGACCTTAGAGAAGGCGCGCTCGATTTGCTTACCCAGTTGTCCAGGAATGATATTAATATTATTAATAAGTATTTCGTGCGCACCTTAAACTTATTGCGTGGACACGAAATACTACTTCGTGGCCACAATTAAAATTTTTTTTTGACCATGTCATCAGAGGGGCTCCGTACACAGAAGACGACATTAGCAAGAACATCAGTAGGATTCAGTAGAGAGGGAAGAAAACAAAGGTTAGTTTTCCTCAAAATATTTTTTCTAAACATTTAATCTTTATTATCCTGTCTATGCTTTAGGTTGGTCACTTCCTATATGGGTTGATGATCATCTCCCCCTAGTGGTTTGGAGTATTTCGATTATGCAGCATTAGTTTGCAGTTTTTTCATAACTTGAAGTTGTTTTTGCTCCATGCAGCATTTTCCCTTTGCTTTCATTTTTATTTTGTTTTTTTGTTTTAAGGCATTTCTATTTTTCTGTTCTCCGTTTTCTTTGACTGCAGCTTTTTCTTATCTGCTGCAGTTTTTCTTAACCGGTATTTATTGTGTTTGTGTACAAACCTGACTTTTATGTTTGCTGGTCTAAATTTTACATTTGTGTCTAAATTTGTGTTTTTCATGTAATTTTGAATTTGCAGGAAATGTAGAATTTGCTGTAAAATGAGGCATTTAAATTTGCCCGTTTGCAGGCCTCGGCCACCGTATAGAATAAATCCACTGAGTGTTTAGGTTAGGGATTAATACTTTAACCCGTTACCATGGAGATCTAATCTACCTGCTGCGTGGTTTATCCATGGTTGGTACCAGTTCTTCTTCTTTGATTTCTTCTGCTCCCCGTGAGTCTCTGCAGTGAGAGGCTGACATTAGATCCAAAACCATTTGGTCAAAGAAAGACATGTTTTTAAAGCTCTAATATTGTAGATCCTGATTATTCAAGTGGAAAAAAGAAACAGTAATGCAGAGTAATGGGATTCCTACAAATATTAACACTGGTGAGATGCCTCCTAAGACTTCATAGATATCAATGCTGTTCTGATAAACTGATGCCACCATTGCAGCCAGTTTGACCAGTGATGCTCTTTGGATTACAGAGGGAACATGCAGGACGTGGAAGTGGTGAAGAATGTTTACCAACTGGACTGCTGAGATCACTACCAACTTCCTGGCTTCCAGCAGAAATCTCACTGCTTTTCTGTCCTTCTTTGTACTTTTGCTGCTTAGCACGAATCCTCTGCATCCTGAGTAGGGAGGAAAGGAAAGAAAATAAGTTCAACACGTTCTTCTCCTCAGACTCCTCCAGCACGGCGGCGCTGATGAGGTAAAAACGTACGATTTCTTGAGCTGTGTCAGGGATTTCTTCTCTATTTGTTGATGAAAGTGAACGTTCTTCATGATGCTGGCTCTGAAGAGCTCAAACCCCCTGAGAAAGAAGGAGAGCCACCAGTTAGAACATGGGATCATCAGAGACATTACACTGCTGTCTAAGAACCACATGGAACAGCAGGAAGCAGAATCCCTCTCCATGTTATGACCCATCCTGCTGGTTCTGATCATTCTGAAGTAGCTGCAGACACCTAGCCTCGTGAGACCATCCTGATCTCGCGAGCTTTCAAGGTTTCACTCGCAGATCAGTTTGGAGACTCTCCATTAAAGAAAAT